CTAATGAAGAGAAAATTCAAATTACTAAAATACAAAAAGAAGAAGGAAATATCACAATACATACGTCTGAAATATAGAAGATAATTAGAAACTATTTTGAAAATTTATACTGTAATAAAATGGAAAACATGGAAGACATCGACAAATTTCTAGAGAATATGACCTACCCAAACTGAATGAGGTCACACATGATTTAAACAGATCAATTTCAAGTAATGAAATAGAAAACAGCATCAAAACCTACCAACCAAAAAAAGCCCAGGACCAGATGGATTCTTAGACATGTTCTACAAGACTTTCAAAGAAGAATCAACACGAATACTCCTCAAAGTATTCCATGAAGTAGAAAAGAAGGAAACTCTTCCAAACATTCTATGAGGCTAATATCACCCTGCTACCAAAACCAGACAAAGACATATCAAGGAAAGAAAACTTCAGACTAATATCCCTAATGAACACAAATGCAAAAATTCTCAATAAAATTCTGGCAAATCGTATACAAAAACATATTAAAAAGATAGCGCACCACAATCAAGTGGGATTCATCCCAGGGATGCAAGGTTGGTTCAACATCCAGAAATCAATAAATGTAATTCATCATAATAATAGACTTAAAAACAAGAATCATATGATCATCTCAATACATGCAGAAAAAAGCATTTGACAAAATACAGCACACATTCATGTTCAAAACACTAGAAAAACTAGGGATAGTAGAAACATTCCTGAACATTGTAAAAAGCTATATATGTTAGACCCAAGGCCGGCATCATTCTAAATGGAGAAAAATTGAAAGCATTCCCACTAAAAACTGGAAGACAAGGATGTCCTCTTTCACCACTTCTTTTCCACATCATCCTTAAAAATCTAGCCATAGCAATTAGACAAAAAAAGAAATTAAAGGGATACAAAGAGGTAAAGAAGAACTCAAACTATCACTATTTGCTGATGACATGATTCTATATCTAGAAGATCCATAAAATTCCACCAGAAAACTTCTAGAACTAATAAATGAACTCAGCAATGTAGTAGCAAAAAAAAATCAACACTCATAAATCAAACACATTCCTATATATCAGCGATGAATCCACTGAAAGAGAAATTAGGAAAACTACTCCATTCACAGTAGCCTCAAAAAAAAAAAAAAAAAAACCCTGGGAACTAATCTAACAAAAGAGGTGAAAGACCTCTACAATGAAAACTACACAACACTAAAGAAAAAAATTGAAGAAAATCTCAGAAGATGAAAAGATGCCCCATGCTCCTGGATAGGCAGAATTGGAAAAATAAGATCCAGAATAGCTAAAGCAATCCTTAGCAAGAAAAGTGAAGCAGAAGGCATCACAATACCAGACCTTAAACTATAATAATACCATGTTATAGTAGTGGCATGGTATTGGCACCAAAATAGACTTGTAAACCAATGGTGCAGAATAGAGGACACACAGACAAACCCACATAAATACGGTTATCCTATACTAGACAAGGGTGCCAAAAACATTCACTGGAGAAAAGATAGCCTATTCAACAAATGGTGCTGGCAAAACTGGAAATCCTTATGTAGCAAAATGAAATTAGACCTCTAACTCTCACCCTGCACAAAAATCAACTCAAAGTGGATCAAAGACTTGACACTAGAACAGAGAGCCTGTGCCTAACAGAAGAAAAAATAGGCCCAAATCCTCACTATGTTGGCCTAGGATCTGACTTCCTTAACAAACTCCTAAAGTGCAAGAAGTAAAATCAAGAATCAATAAATGGGACAGATTCAAATTAAAAAACTTCTTCTCAGCAAAGGAAACAATAACATGAGGAGAGCCTACAGACTGGGAGAAAATCTTACCACATGCACCTCCGATAAAGCAATGATCTCTAGGATATATAAAGAACTCCAAAAACTTAACACCAAAAAACCAAAAACCCAATCAATAATGGGCTAAGGAACTGAACTGACACTTCACAGAATAAGAAATACAATTGATAAACAGATATATAAAAAAGTGTTCAACATTTCTAGTGATTAGAGAAATGCAAATCAAAACTATTCTAAGATTTCATCTTACTCCTGTCAGAATGTCAATTATCAAGAATACAGCAACAATAAATGTTGGTGAGGATGTAGTGAAAAAGATACACTCATACATTGCTGGTGAGACTGAAAATTGGTGCAACCAATCTGGAAAGCAATATGGAGATTCCTTAGAAAACTGGGAATGGAACCACTATTTGACCCAGCTATCCTACTCCTTAGTTTATACCCAAAGGACTTAAAATCAGCACACTATAGTGATGCAGCCACAACAATGTTTATAGCAGCTCAATTCACAATAGCTAGACTATGGAACCAACCTAGGTGTCCTTCAATAGATGAATGAAAAAGAATATATACTCAATGGAATATTACTCAGATTTAAAGAAGGGTGAAATTATAGCATTTGTAAGTAAATGGTTGGAGGTGGAGAATATCATGCTAAGCGAAATAAGCCAATCCCACAAAACCAAAGGCCAAATGTTTTCTCTAATATGTGGATGCTAGTTCACAATAAAGTCAGGGGGTTGTGTGTGGCATTAGGGAAGAATAGCATTACCTTAGATTAGGTAGAAGGAAGTGATGGGGGGCATATGGGTATAGAAAAGATAGTAGAATGAAACAGACATTACTGTATGTATATTTGTGACTACATGACCAATATAAATTCTGCAACATGTACACTCAGAAAAATGAAATTACATCCCATGTACGCAAGATATATCAAAGTGCATAAATGTAAAAAATAAAATAACAAAAACATTTGCAAAACAAAACAAATTAGCAAATCAAATCCCTCAATGTATTAAAATAGCAATACACCATAAGCAAATACATTTTATCAAAGAAATTTCATTTGATATTTGAAAAATCACTCACTATATTTCACCATATTTTGAGAATAATGAAGATAAAGCATATAAACAGCTAAAAATTCACAATTTTTTTAGATAGGGATCTCCACCCCTCCTCCCAAATGGTTATTCTTTTTTTTAAAAATATTTTTTTAGTGTTGATAGATCTTTATTTTATTCCTTTATTTATATGCAGTGTTGAGAATTGAACCCAGTGCTTCATATATGTGAGGCAAGCACTCTACCACTGAGCCACAACCCCAGCCCCTTCAAATGGTTATTCTATGTATTTACCATGAATCAAAGTGATGTGATACAAAGAGTTCTATCCTAGAAGTTGAGAAACTGAGTTCATTGCTTAGATAAGAATTGGGAGTCTAATCATAGTTCTTAAAACCTTCCAAACTCAAATATTACATAGGGCCGAATGCAGCAATTACATCAAAAAAAAAAAAAAAATAGGGTAAATGTTGAAAGTACAGACTCTGGTGCCAGACTGTTAGGTTCAAGTCTTATTCAAACACTTACTAGCTTCGTAACCTTGCAGTAAACTACTTACCTCTACCTAAATTTCCTCGTTTATACAATGGAGATAAATGATGGCACCTACTTCATGAGCTTGTTGCAATAAGTGAGTAAAGCACATAAAACAGTGCCTGGCACCCTGTATGCACTATATGAAAATCTGCTGCGATACCTGTGATAATGTTTCTGCAAAGTAATGAGGAAAATAAGATAAATACAGCTATAAAAGAATAGAGCTAAGAATCCCTAAAGTAGTTTGTAGGCTGAAAACTGTAGAAATAATAATTAAAAGGCAAGAAGAAAATCCAGTGCACCACTTCCTATCATTTCCTTTTCTCTTCAAGTGTTAATCACTTGACCTAAGAATGAAAATGTCAAATGAATCAGGGCTTGTATTGTCAACATTCTGCTAAGGAATGAGGAACTGGGACATTTGTATTTTTCTCTTTCTTGAGATATACATTTCCTAGCTAAGTAGTGCATTCAATTCAAATAAAAGTTAAACATAGCATTTAGCTCTTTCAAACTGAAGTCACTATTTGCTCTGTGGTCTTTGGAATTAGTTTTGAGCTTGGAGGTCTCCTCATCAATAACTGAACCAGTTTAAAGAAACAGTTTTTAGGGAGTTGCAAACTCTAGGAGGATAGCAAACCAACCCATTTGGAAATAATACTCATGGAAATTTTCTTTCTTATTTATGTAACAATGATTCTGGCAGCCCCAGATCTGCACATACCTCCTCTTCCTTTGCTTCAGTCTTTCTTAGGGACCCTTTCCTGCTTACCCCCTCATATACCCCAGAATTAAAACTGAAAGCTAGAGATTTGCTACTGACTGGATGGCTTAATAAAACAATTTGAACTATATAAAATAATTCTTAAGACTTAGAAATACACCACAAAGACTTTTTCCTTAAAGCAGAACATTTAAAATAATTAGTCAAAATTAATTCATACAAAATCAAATATATATTTTATTAGCTAATATCCTCTGTTACCTACAAAAGAAAAGGTCATGTGTTACTATTCAGGAAGACAGCCACATGAGAAGGATATGAAGGAAGCAATATAGTTGGTTTCTTTAAGATTTTTTAAGTCCCTATACTTAAATTTTACACCAGCTCCACCACATATTAGTGTAGCAAATATATCCTAAGTTTGAGGTATAAAATGAAGGTGTGAGAGCACACAGATCCCTTCCAGCTTCCTTTCTTTCTTCCAATTTTAAAATGGTGACAGTCTCAAAATGAAGACATAAATATAAAATATCAGATGTTTCATCTTAAGATTGAGAAAAGAAAGCATCAGCTCACCCTGTTTTTATGGGATTCAGTAATTTGATAATAGCTTGCTTTCTTATCGCCTGTCATAAATACAACTGAGAGGTGGGAAATATAATATGTGATTAAAGAACAACTCCACCTTCATATCAGTATATTGGAAACAAGAGTAAGAAATCAATATTGTGTTTCTTAAAATTAAAAATAAGAAGAGGCAACCATCTGTTAAGGAATACTCTGATAAAGCCAAAGTAGTTTATATTTCAAAATTTGAGTAGCTTTTAACAAGCTATCAGAATAAGCTATAGCCCATTAAAAAGAGAAGAAAAAAATTCCCATGTTACAGAGATATAAACATCATGTTTCTTACTAAAGCCCAACTCTTTCTTAGTCAACATCCTCCAAACACACACACACACACACACTGATTGTCTTTAGTCAACAAAAGTGTTGCCATCTATATCCCTTGACATTCAACTCTTCATTCTGTAACAACACTTTCAGACCCTGTGTTCTTATCCTCAGAATAGCTACTACTTTGATTACACACCTTCTCCTGAGATACATACACAAGAATTCTCTCACAGTTGGTAGAGTCTAAATAAAATTACCATGCAGATACAGGTTTTCACAATTGCAGGACAAAGACTTATTCACGCAACATATTCCCTAGATTATTGATATAAACATTGGATTAAAATTTACCATACTATATTACATCAATAACCTACTCACAGCTCTTGAATGTAGCCCTAAAATAAATGCTACAGGAGATTAAATTGGCTTATCATAATAAAATACAAAATAAGGGCCCACATACTATCATTTGCGACATTACCTTTAAAGTAAGTCACGTATCCTGAACATCACTGACCTCTCAGAAGACTCTTGAAGGAATTCCATTTCTTCCAACCTTTAAATAACACAGGCTAATATGCAACCACAAGTACAGAGTTCCTGTGTTTCCAAATAAGATAATTTATGTAAATGTGCTTATAAAGAGTAATATCCTCTACACATCTAAATTTTTCCATCACCCTATTTATCATCAAGGGCCTCTCTCCATCTACCAAAGGTGCTATGAACATGTTGTGACAACGGTTCTTGATAACAGAGAATGAATTCACTTTCTTTTTGCTATTTCTTTTATTTCATTATTTCATTTTCTCTTTTCTTTCCTTTTCTTTCATTATATTGTAATCACTTTTGCTTTTTTCTTCCAGTAGCAATCCATTTCCCTATTACTACAACTTTATCCCATGTTAACGTCACTTCTGAATCAAAGGAAAAAGGAACTTGAAGATCAAATAAAAAATATGAATCTTGGATGCTATTAATGCACAGTGTGCACCAAAGGCAAAGGGCAACAAAATAAAACACACTTTGCTGTAGCAACAGAGGCCATGACTTACCGTCTGGCTCACTCTCTGACCCTGAGAGACTGCCATAGCTGCTCATTAGTGAACACAAAGCTGGTGTGACTTCCTTAGGTACAACTGTATGCTGTGTTTTCTCCTCCTTATCAGACTCTGAAATAAAAGGGGAAAGAACAAAGATTCAAACAGTGTATCCCCAAATATCCACCACTATAAAAAAAAGAAAGCTGACTGTCTTCCAGTCTTTCATGCTAGTAAAAACAAAAGGAATTTCTGTGGGGCACGGTGGCACATGCCTGATCCCAGCAGCTCGGGAGGCTGAAGCAGAAGGATGGCGCGTTCAAAGCTAGCCTCAGCAACTTAGAAGGCCTTAAGCAACTCAGCAAGACAAAATAGTAGTATTTCCTTCAAAGACTTAAAGAAAGCCCACCCTCCTTTAATCCTTATGCAACATCCTACGACTTTCACTATAGTTACAGGTGATTAAACCAAAACTCAAAGGGGCTGGGGATGTGACACAGTGGTTAAGTGCCCCTGGGTCCAATCCTGGGTACCAAAATGAAAAAAAAAAAAAATTTCTGATCATTTCTTTAATCTTCCCAAAACATAAATTGCAGGAGACCTGAAAGTATTCTTAGTTTAAATCTTGACCAAAGAAGTTATGTGCTACAGGGAAGGAGAAGAATGAATGGAAGCTGTAAACAACTCAGTTAACTTACTGTGCTTCACAGGTTATGGAATCTAGGCCTGCCCTAAATTAACTTAATTACACAGATTTTACTATTAATTTACAGGTAGTGGGAAGGCCAAAATTGATTTAACTTTACTGGATGAGGATCATTAACTCTGAAAATTCAATTTAGAAATAAAAAAATATATAAAAATATCCTCCCCTTTTGTTGTTTTCGAGACTAGTTTTTAGGACCCAAATAATATTTAAACCATTCTAGGCTTAGTGAAAGAGTTTTACTGAAATGAACCTACTCCAAAGATTTTATTATTTAGAACTTCTAAGAATTTATGTCAATAGGCCAACCATGAGAATTTAGCAAACACTAAAGAGCCTGCCAAAGGTAAAGTGTTTGATCAGAACCCAGCAATCCTAGCTGTAGCCCCAGGACACCACGCATTACATTTATTTTTGGCAGCTCTAAAAAACACATCAACAACCAATAAAAATAAAGCCTGACTAAAGACAAGAAGTAGCTTGTCCATTTAATGAACCAGCTCAACCTACAACCAATATGAAATGTCTCAAAAGGAACACTTAATGTTCACTAAGACAGTCCAAGGGAAACTAAAATATGCCACTAGGAAGTGTCAGTAACTTTTCATGTGAATGTTGACCAAGCACCTTCTGCTAAAGATATATCTTCTTATGCCACCCACAATGCCAGCACCACATCCCCTAATATTGTTCCGTATTTTAAGCTAGATTATTACTTTTTCTCTTGGATGAATAAAGGAAAAGGAAAATATGCAATTTATATGAGCAGAAATCTACCACAATATTAGTACAAAGACTATTCATCCACTGTCTGAATAACCAAAAACAAAATAGTAGTATTTCCTTCAAAGACTTAAAGAAAGCCCACCCTCCTTTAATCCTTATGCAACATCCTATGACTTTCACTATAGTTACAGGTGATTAAACCAAAACTCAAAAAGAATTCAAGTAAATTTCTTTCAAGTAACTCACTATAAAATGGTTGGGTCAATGTAAAATCTAGGCTACCTCCCCAAATCTCAAACTAATAAACTATAATGTCTCCTATAGATTATCATTATTATTAAAATGAAGCCCCTGTATCAAAATGTATTAATGGCCAACAATAATGTTAATGACTTTTTGTCACAGTTCCATTGCTTCCCACCTTCCACCCCCCGCTGTTCTATGGCAAAACTCTAAACAGCTACTTGATAAAATTCACCACAGAAATTTGGGTCTAAAATTTCCTTCAGTCCACTACTCCAATGTGTTTCTGAGGACCACCACATCAGAGAAACTTTTTCTTCTTCTGAGTTCACCTGGGTCCTCTGTGTTTCCAAATCTAAAGGAAATTTCTTGATTCTCCTCTTATTTAACTTACCAACAGTATGTAATCATGTTCTGTTTTTTAAAACCTCATGGCTTCCAGAACCCTTTCACTTAGCTGTCTTTTCCCAGTCTCCCTTCTGAATTCTCCTCACTTACCAACTTCCAAAATTATGAAGTGACCCTGGATCTAATTCTGAGAGACCTTTCTCTTTGTGCCTCCTCTTCCCTAGATGATCTGATGTTCCCTAAAATCTTAACATTATCTATATGCTTGTGAATCACAAATTTGTACCTTCAATCTTCAGTTTTCCCTTAACTCCAGAATAATACTAACTGCTCATCAAACATCTTTACTTAGATGTCAATAATCTCAACTGTGTCCAAAATTAAACACTTGATTTCCACTTGGCACAAGCCCTACAGTATCTCCCCCTTGATAAATATCAACTGTTTCTTCTTAGGGTTAAGCCCAAAATGTATGAATCTTCTTTCTTTCTCATACCTTATCTATCCGATTAACAACTGCCAACAGTTATTTCAAAAACAAATCCAGCATCATACTTGTTTCTCACTACTTCCATTACAACCCAAGGCAACATTGCTTGCATGGAGAATTCTAACAGCCTCCTAGATCTTGACAGGACTCTGCCCAATTCTCTTTATAAAAAGTCTATTCTCTACCAAAAACATAGATCATATGACCTCTCTGCTCAACCTGGGAATAAAATCCCAAGACGTCCCTGGGCCTACACAGCTGGCCTGACTAGACTGGACCTTGCACTTGTCTTGTAACAAACCCACTTTCTTCCTGGCTTACACCACTGCCACCTGGCTGCTACTTCAGCATGCAAGGCAGCTCTCCCTGGGGTATGTGCACTTGCTGCTCCCTCTGCTGGGACTGCTGTAAGTATGCAGCACTCGGATGTCTTTTTCATGTCACCTCCAGAGTGCCTTCACTGATCACCCCACAGAAAACAGCAGAACTCCTCCAAACACCATTTTTCCATCCTTTACTCAGCTTCATGATGCTTATATCCACCCAACATATTGTGAGTTTGTTTACTGACTCTCCTTATTATGGTTTGAATGTGAAGTGCCCCCCAAAAGCTCATGTGTGAAACAATGCAAGAAGGTCTGGAGGAGAAATGATTGGGTCATGACAGCCTTAACCCAATCGGTAAAATAATCATCTGATGGGATTAATTGAGTGGTGAGTGGAGGTAGGTAGGGTGTGGCTGGAAGAAGTGGGCCCCCGGGGGCATGCCTTTTGGGTATATATTTTGTATCTGGCTAGTGGAGTCCCTCTCAGCTACTAATCATCAGGTGAGCTGCTTCCTTTTGCCACACTCTTCTGCCTCGATGTCCTGCCTCACCTCCAGCCCCAAGGAATGGAGCTAGCTGTCTGTGAACTAAGACTTCTGAAACTATGAGCCTCCAAATAAACTTTTCCTCTTCTAAAAGTGTTCTTGTCAGGTCTTTTAGTCAGAGCAATGAAAAAGCTGACTAAAACACTACCCAAACCAGAAGGCAGCTACAAGACAGAAGGGGTCTTGCTGTATTCTCAGAGCCAAGAACAATATGTAAGTGTTCAATAAATATCTGAAGAACAAACTATTGCATGAATTAGATAAGGTTAATTAGCACAGAATCAGAGTGCTAGTAAGAGGTTGGGCCAGGATAGAAAACTAGATTTGCATGGATCTAAAGTATATAACATGATTCCATTTTTATTTTTAAAAAATCATATAAATGGGCACAGGAGGTGGCTGGGGTGAGGCTGGGTGGTAAAGCACTTGCCTCCCACGTGTGAGGCACTGGGTTCGATCCTCAGCACCACATAAAAGTAAATCAACAAAATAAAGATGCTGCGTCCATGTACAACTAAAAAATATTTTTTAAAAAAATGGACACAGGAAAAACATTGGAAGGATACACAAAAACATGTGAGCAGTAGTCGAATTTTTAAGTTAAGAGAGCAGTTTTAAAAAATATTTTATGCTTTTAATATTCCCACACCTTCTCTATTACTTTTGTAGTGGGAAAAAAATAAAGAATGAAAAATAAGGAGAAACAGTGTTCTTCATAATTCAGTTCATAAACACAGGCAAGGCTTTAATTGGCCTATAGAGTCTTTTGCCCTCGTCCCTTTGGTTTTAAACTTTCTATTTTGAAACAATTTTGGAGCTACCCAAGTATTACAAAGCACAGGAGTTTCCATATACTCTCACTCAACTTCCCTAATGTTATCATCTCATATAACAAAAAACACTTATCATAGCCAACAAATGAACACCAGTGCCATCTTACTACCTAAGCTAAAGACCATACTGTCATTTCCTCAGTTTTTCCATTAATGTCGTTTTCTAGTGCTAGGATCCAATCTACCATTCCAGACTGGAGTTAACTATCATGACTCCTTAGTCTTCTCCAAATATGTGATAGTGTCTTAATCTTTTCTTGTCTACCAGGAACATTTTTGAAGACTGTTGGATCAGATAACAGCAGAATGTCCCTCAGTTTGGGTGTGTCTGACATTTCTGATGATTGGATTGAGGCTATGGATTTTGGTGAAGAATAATACAGAGAAGATGAAGCCATCTCATCACAACATAGCCCATGATATCAATATGACTTACCACTGGTGATGTTCACCTTGATAACTTGGTGCTCTGCCTGATATCTCTACTTTTATAAAGTTACTATTTTTCTCTTTCATTATTTACTCCCTGAAATGAGTTAATAAATTTAGCCCACATTCAAGGGGAGGAGAATTAATCTCCAACTCAAGTAAGGAGGAGCAAAAAATTTTTGACATGTCAAAACCACAATAATAATTAATAAATGTTTGGGAAAAGATATTTAAAGGCTATGCAAATACTGTTTTGCCTTAAAATTTGGCCACTAATTCTTCCATTCCCCAGTGGATCCTGCCTAAAATAATTATTACTAGGGTATTTCAATGGTGACCTTCTATTTCGCTCATCTACATATATCAGCTGGCACATTCTTTTGTAAGAAAGATTCATCCCTCTTTCTTCATATTTATTTATTGTGGGGTGGAGATTAAAACATTATTATTTATTTCGTGGCAACATTTGTTCCTTCTTTGGCCATTGAGAATTTTTTATAGTAGTACCCTTCTGTCATGCCAACACTGTTATATTTTTGAAAACTTTCTGGTACTAAAAAATGTTCTAGTCTTACCTTTTATTTTCTATGTCCCAACCCAGAACCAGCCTTTTCTCTAAGAGGCCATGATTTCATTAGAGAATGGTCTTTGGAATCCACAACGTAAGTGCAGGTATAATTGTTCCTAGGAAGATCACAAAGCTCACTAAATTTGATGACCTCTTCAAAGGGAAGAGTTAGGAGTTTCTACATATGAACTACTCTTCCCCTCTCTATTATATATTTAACTCCAACAACAAGTGATAGCATTTTAATTTTCCTTTTGGCATTTTAAACAATGACTTCTCATCTCATACATCCCCCCAAAAAGCTATTCCCAAAGTTGCTGGGATCTACCTAACAGTTGTAATACAGGTATTTTAGCACCTATACTGGAAGACTATGATGAATGCACTGTTCTGGCTGACAAAATTGTTCCTGAAAAACTTCACTCACTCTTTTTTTTTTTTTTTTGGTTCTTTTTAGAAGAATGATTTTCTGACATTTGCAGGTAAATGGATAGATCTGGAGACTATTGTGCTAAGTGAAATAAGCCAATCCCCCAAAAAAGCAAAGGTCTAAGATTTTCACTCACTTTTTTTTTAAGCAGCTAAAACATCTCTCTGAACTAAAAATACCAGTACAAAGATAGTAGAAATAAAAATGATGAAACTGAATTTTAGAATTATTATAAAATATCAACTCAATTTCTCTGTTAAGAAAACTTAGTGACACTTTTCTGAGGTAAATGACAAGCTACTATGATTTAATTGTTGGCATTTTGATTTTCTTGAAGAATAATATAAACAGTTTAATATAAATTATTCATTAATTAAATTTTAATACAATTCTAAATTCACAGCCACATATGGTTTTTATACTCGAGACTCATATTCCCTCATTTCTGACCCTTAAAATATATATGTTCCCATCCTTGGCTGTCAATATAGGGAAAGTTTCAACATTTAAACCAAAGTAAAATTATGGAAGACCTCTCTCATGTAACTGCTTCTGGAAATCCAACTGAATTCTTCCTACCAATGAAGATGAGAGGTATTTAACCACTGTTTCTGATGTCTAAGTTTTGAGGACTTAGATAATAAGTCTTCAGAAGCAAGATAAATAGAAGCAAAATATAATCATCTTTTAGTTGACATTTTAACATATTGGCAAATTTGAAATAATGCTTTAAAAACCACAACCAAAACCAAAACTAACAAGAGCTGGGGATGTAGATCAGTGGTGAAGCTCTGGCCTACATGTGTGAAGTCCTGGGTTAGATCTCCAGCATGGCAAAAACAAAACAAAACAAAAAGAACAAATAGGGGCTGGAGGTATAGCTCAGTGTTAAGAGAACTTGCCTAGTATGCACAAGGCCCTAGGTTCAATTCCCAGCACTGGAGATACCAAACAACCATAAAACAGAATTAACTTCATCTATCAAAACTAAGAGGAAAAACATAAACAAAAACAACAGACACTATTAAATATCATAGTCCTTCAAATGTTCATCTAAAAAAAAAACCACACATAAAAGAGTTTCATAAAATTAGTTTACTAATTTTCAAATTAGTAACTGGTTTTTAAAAAATATTTTAGTGACATAAAATTTTGATACAGATAGTATTTTGTCATGAAGGTCACACTTTGCAAATCTAAAGAAGTGGGTGTGCTCTCTAAAAAGTCTTCAAAACCAAAAGCAAAAAAATTAGTATCCAAGAGTAAACTCAGCTTGGCTCAAAATAGCTGCCTTTTCCTTGCTCTCTGCAAGGATAAGAAGGTGCCTTCTGTAAACTCCCACATCTCAACTATCCTAGACTAATACAAAAAATTTTACACAAATTTGGACTTCACATTTACAGGGCATGTAAGATACTAGTGGAATCAAACTCTTTAAGTTCAAATTCTGGCTCTGCCACTAACTAGCAGTATCACTAAGGCAAAGTTTTATTCCTAATTTCTAAAAGGAGTCACAATAGCACCTATGTATAAGGTTGTTATGAGGAAGAGTTAACATACACAAAGCAAAAGGAGCATAGTGAGTACCTTATTCACTGTTAGTTGGTGGTTAAGATAATTTATGGTTATTACTATTTCTACTAAATTTTAGTATTACTATTCTTATTATTCTCAGCCCAACATTCCCTTTTGCTAAGATCCTTTATCATCCTAACACTGTCAATAAACTGGTTATTCCCACATTTCCTGCCATCTATAAATTCAATAATTTGTCATGTGATTATCATGAAAGCAACTGTCACCTGAGCTGAACAGAGACCGGAATCAAACCTATAACGAAACATCATTCCACTCATTAATCATCTTTTGGAACTCCTCTTCAATAGGAAGCATATGCAATTAAATACAAGCCTCACAATGTTACTGGAGGGGAAGGTCATACAGATATTTTACATATACATTTTCATTTTTCTGAAGGGAAAAACAGAAGCTAAGGAGCTAAGGGATATCTGTGTGATAGCAATATTTGGGGATGTTCAATTTTTGCCTTTAAAGCAAGAGTCAACTTGTCCTATTAGTTATACAAGGAATTTAAGGATAAACTATAAACATATGAAAATATATTCTATACTTTGAAGAAGAATACTATTATGCAAATACAATGAATTAATGTCATTTGCCCATAGGGACCATGATTGTGCTCAGTAGTATAAATACTGGCTTCCATAGAGTTACTGATTTATAAGCAAGAGGAAAAAAAAAAACATGTAAAAAGGCCAAATTGCATCTATGGAAACTCAAAACAATCTTAAAAAAAAAAAAAAAACAACTCCCAAGATTACAGCATACTTTGGAAATTACCCAACAAATCTTTCTCCCATAGCCTGCCTGCCCCATGAATTCCGGCCCAAGACTCACAAAAGATATTCTGAAATGAGGCTTTTCCACAAGAGACTTCTCTTAAAAACAAACAAACAAAGCATCTTTCTACATTTTTATGTATGTGTTATCCAGCTTTCCACAAAAAGGGCTATGAGTAACCAACTTCGACATCATTGTCTGTATGCTTATAAACACATTATTTTCCTATTAACTTACCAGAATCACTATTTATCAAAACGCCAAGAGGATCTGCCTTTGCCTCAGGTGGACCTTCAGGCTTTGAAGCAGGGAGGAGATTTTCTGATCCAGGGACACCGCTCTGTTTGACACCATCATTTTTCCATTTGTGTTGTCTACCAGGACTTCTGATCTTGCCCATCTGTGAATTTCTAGACATCCCCTTCATCTTGCTGGAATAAGAAAAATGCAATTCTTGGTATAAAAGTCACTAACCTTTCAAGGAAAAGTTGAAAAAGACTACTGAATGCAAAAAAAAAAAAAATCCAGATGTTAAACCGATCATTTGTTGCCTAGTACATTAAATAGACCAAAACAAACAAAAGTCAGTGGTTCCCAAAGACAGAGAGGTCTTAGAAGAACTTTAAAAGGATGACACTCTACAATACACCATATTTTATTCATCCTCAGCCACACATTACTACCAATATTTTTGCCCCCTGACATTCAGCTGTGCTGTGCAATCACTGACGAACCACAATTCTACAGCCATCTTAAATAAAGTGCTCTTCAATCACACAACTACCTCTTTTACAAAGAAAACAAGTACTTAGGAGGCATTTTCTAATTTAAGTCAATTTAAGAACAACAACAAAAATTCATTAATAATAAATTCTCTATAAATAATAATCAAAGTATCTTTTGGTAGAACTGAATTTCCTCAAGGACATGCATGCTATTCCAATTTGCCATTGTTTGGGCAAAACTCTTTTTTTTTTTCTTTTTTTCATTAATAATGAGGTGGCAGAATTAGAAATTGGGTCCAAATTTCAATTTTGTCTGTGTTCCTTGGATATATTAATATCCCTGAGCCTGTTTACTCCTTCACTTACAGAATGGAAATCAGAGACATAGAGAGAATTAAGATAATATAAAGTACTTCACTTAGAGCAAGGTAACATCTTGAGCCCTTAATAAACTATAGTTATTACTATAACACTTGCTGAATAATTTGTTGAACCAATATATTCAGTTTACATCTGCCATCCAAGGGCTCAAAATCCTTTCAGGGTCACTATAACTCTTACAGAATCTCATTCCAAAACTTCATATACATACACTCCAAATTTTGCAGAAAGCCAAAATTTATCATGAACCAATTTCCAAGACATCTGTTTAGTCTGATACTAATAATGTTATACCAGGTTACTTTTGGTTGGTGTTTACATAGCAAAACAATTAAAACTCCATCAACTGAAACTCCTAATGGGAAATTTTTTAAAAGGGACCTCAATCCCTATACAATAGTTAATTCTAGACATAAACAGGAAAGTTTATAAAGCAACAAATCTTCCTATAAAACAGAGGAATAGCTTCAAGAACTCCTTCAGATAGAAAATTTTCTTAAGCAGAACAAGAAATAGTATTCACCATAAAAATAAAACACAGATAAATTAGACTGGGTGAAAATTAAAAACTTTCATTTATCAAATGACAGCACTAGGAACTTCCATTCTGGCCAAAAGAAAGGAACACTGACCATATTTTTCCTGCTATCTGAATCAACAACAAAAAACTAGACACAATGCAGAAACAAGGGTTTCTATGACACCGGCTATCAAGCAACAGGAATACTGATTGCTGAGAGATGGGAAATGAATGAGCAGTGAGCCCTATAATTGCCAAGCTTACTGCCTGAGAGTTTCCAGATTGCCAGAAGGACTGCACCCAGCTGGAACCTGCTGGACTCCCTAAGTTGAGGAATTGGAACTGGGACTCCAGGGAAAAAGACTTCTGCAGTTTTCAGAAATTCACAGAGGGCAAAAAGTTGTAGGAGACAGAAAATTCAATTATTTAGCAGAGAACTTATCAGCCCATACATGCAAGGAAACTATACAAGGGCCAGGAAAGAACCATCCAAAAGATTAGAGGTAATGGTGCCTACACATTCACATGAGAGTCAGAACACAGTACCTGTTTTCACCTACCAGCATAGAAAATACAGAAAATACATGCCACAGTAATGAGGAAGAGTTAGTTCCAAACTAAATACTGCTTTGGTCACACCCAACAATTCTCAAAAGCAAAATGCAAAAAGATCAGATTGTTGTTAAGTTACTTAGCTGTGTACCCTTCTCTCCCCTGCCAAATTTTTAAGAACATTTAAAGGAATGTAAAAATATCTAGCACCCAATGAAGTGGAATTTTCTTATATCCTGTCAAAAGTAATCAGACATGCATTCAAGCAGGAAAAACATGACCCATAATGAGGAGAAAAAATACAAACTGATCCAGAACAGACACAAACATTAGAATTAGCAAAGTTCAGTTATGATAATTGTAGTCCTCATGTTCAAAAAATAATGTCTGAGATAAAAAAATGCAAAATATATATCGAGACAAAAAAATATGAGATTAATGCAAGATTAGTCACTGCACAAAAAAGAATAATAAACATAAAGGTATAGCAACAGAAACTAGTATGAGGCACGTAGAAAAAAAAAGAATTATATAAAATGAAGAGAATTAGTGAGTTAAGGGACAATTTCAAGTAGCCTAATATACATGTAACTGAAGTCACAGAAAGGGAGAGGGAGGTGAAGAAGAAAAAAAATTAAAGAAATAATGGCCAAAATTTTTTCAGTTTTGATTTAAAACAAAACCCATAAACTCATAATTCAAGAAGCTCAACAAACCTTAAGCACAAGAAACATGAAGAAAACCAAGGCACATCATAATCAAATTGCTCAAAACTTGATGGAGTCAGACAAAAACAGGCGCTTGTATAAAGAAACAGTAAAATGATAAGAGGAGGTTTTTTCATTGGAAAAACTGAGCAACACCTTGATAGCATTATAATTTTTTTTAAAAAAACCTGTTAACTCAGAAGTATATATCCAGCCAAAATATCCTCTAAAAAAGGAATGCAAAAATAAAGGCATTTTCAGACACACAAACTGAATAGAGTAATCTTCAGCAGACCCTCAGCTCATTATAAGAAATATTAAAGGAAGTTCTATAAGCAGAAGGAGATAAGCATCAGATGGATCTACATAAAAGAATGAAGAGCATCAAAACAGTAACCACATCGGTATCCTAGCTATCAGCCAACCAAACCCCAGCTATGGTTGAACCTTTTCAGCAGATGTGCCTGGCTTCCATCTGACCCAGATATCTGAGTAATTATTAACTGTTATATATTTCAAAAAATAGAATAAAAAACATTAAGAGAGTAAAAAGGCAAGCCAAAGATTAAGAGATAAATATATATACACATGTCATTCAAATGCATATCTAAAGAAATCCTCCAAATCAAAAAAAGCAATCCCAATCAAAAACTAGTCAAAGACTTGAACTTGTACTTCATAAGAGAATACTACAACAGGCAATAAGCATATAACAAGATGCTCAACACCATTAGTCAGGAGGGAGCTGGCACAACATGGGAGAAAGGTGCAACATTACCAAATATTGATTAATGTAACAGAAAAATTATATGCCATTAGCAGAAGGACAAATTCATTCAACCACTTTGGCAAATTGTTTGGCCCTAGCCAATAAAGCAAAACATACAACTACCCTATGACCTAGCATATATAATAATGAGTATTAATGTCACAAAATACTGTAAAATATGTGCAAAAGAAAGTTTACAGCAGCTTTATTCACAACAGGCCAACCTAAAAGCAACCCAAATGACCAACAGAAGAATATTAAAATTATATGCATAATCTCAAAACTAAATTCTATAGAACAATAACAATGAAACAATTTTCAACTACATATGATATGGATAAATCTCACAAAATAATTTTGAGCCCTAGAAACCACATAACTAAGAATACAAATATGATTTCATTTATATAAACTTCTGGGAATAGGCAAAGTAAATTTATGATGATGGAAATCGAAAAGGGGTTATCACTGGGGAGCAGGGAAGGCTTAAAAGCTTTGTGAGGTGAAGATGTTCTGTATATTAATCTGTGTGGAGGTTACACAGATGTGCTGGAGTCTGTGTGCATGCGTGTTTATGTAAAACTTCATTCAAACTTTGCATTTAAGATTTATATATTGTAATTATATTACAATGTCAATAAAAAGTAAACAAAATGAAAAAGTTGAAAAAAATTCAATGAAAGTGAAAGGGAGCATTGTGGAAAGATTATCTCATACACTGCCAATGGGAGAGCAGACTGGGCCAACTTTTATGACAGATATTTGGCAGCATCTATCAATATTATAAACACACATACCCTTTAACCCAGCAAATCCATTTCTAGGAATCCATCCTTAGAAATACTTGGGTAAATTTTTTATGTACAAAGTCAATAATGGCCACTTTTTACTAGTTAAAGACTCATAAGAACTTAACTAGTTAAAACAACAAAAAGGCCAGGACATCTGTAAACTTCCTACACATCTTTAAAGAATGAAGTTTGTGATCAGGATGGTGGCTCATGCCTGTAATCCCAGCTACTTGGGAGGCTGAGGCAGGAGGGTTATAAGTTCAAGGCTAGTCTAGACCCTGAACAAAAAGGGCTCAGGGTATGGCTCAGTGGCAGAGTGTTTGCCTATTATGATCAAGGCCCTGGGTTTAATCTACAGTATTACATTAAAACAATAATGATAATAATAAAGAGGTTTGTTATATATTAATATTGGACGATGTCCAAGTAAAATTTTCAATATCTAAAAAATCAAAATGCATTAGTGTCAAAAATGGAAGGAAGAAAAAAAAGATCATATCCTTCATTTATGTCCTATACAAACGGAGGCTCTCTGGAAAAATAAACTGGGTTGCCTCTGAGAAAAAAGATTAGCTGAAAGACAAATATTAAAAGGACTTGTTTACTATATCTTCACTATATTTTTTATAAAAAGTAAAAAAAAAAAGTTACTAAAGCAAAGATTTTAGAATTGGGAATGGAGAGATTTTAAGAGTTTGGTTTTTGCTCCTTTGTATAACATACATATTCTCAGTTAAAATGAGCACTGAGAATATCAACAATATTAAGGAACTTACCCATACTGTGTCGTTGTCAATACTTCTCCTCTCTTTTCCCTTTCAAGTTTTAACTTTTTCTTCCTTTCAATGTTAGCCAGAGTTGGGTAATTTCTAGAAAATAAAAGAAGTTAATCATGAAAGTGTTTTTTGAGTATAACTTTAAGCAACCAAGTAACTAATGAATTTAGAAGTTTTTAATGACTAAAAGAAATCAATAAAAATCTTCAATTACTTCTAAAATTTTTTAAAGAGGGAAGAATGTAAACTATAACAATGTTACTCAAGGCACAGACCAGCTGCTGATCCACCAACTTTGCTACCAGTCTACAACTAGGTAAGAAGCTTATGCTAGAATTTTTTTAAAAGTATATAACATGTTCAAACTGATCTAATATGTCTACTTAGCATGTACCTACAATTACTTAAGAAAAAATTTAAGTCTATTCAGTTACTTATGCAAATATATGCTAGATACACTTGAAGTTACCAAAATAAGTGATAGTTCTCAAAAAACTGTCTCTCAGGAAGAACAGAAAAAGCTCAAGAACAGCTGTAACATAAGACAAAATATAATAAGTACCCAAAAGACTATAAAGATTTGGTGGGTGGGGGCCTGGGAAATAGCTCTGTTGGTAGATGTACAAGGCCCTGGGTTCAATCTCCAGCACACACACACACACACACACACACACACACACACACACACACACACACACCAAGATTTGGTGGGGGGAAGGAAAGATTATATCAAAATGCAGAAATCCAGGAAGAAAGGAATTTGAAGGAAATTGGTCTTAAATGCTGTTAAGAAATAGCAACCATAAGGGAGCTTCAGAGTGTTCTAAGTAGAACAAACAATATAAACAAATCAAGATCTCAGAAAGTCCAAAAGATACCCAGGGAATAATTTTCTATGAAACTTAAAATAGTTACAGGCAGTCAGACTGGAAAGGGAGGTTCAGGCCAAAAATTTATACTTAAGTCAGCAGGTGATGAAAAGCTACAGAAAGTTATGAACTGGGAGAGATATGTTTGAGGCTGTGATTAAGATACAGTCTGACAGCAATATGCAAGATGAATCGCTTTCTTTGTTTCTTGGCACAGCTATGTGGAGATACAGGCCTCAAACTCTGATGCTGAAGAAGATAGAGCACTGAAATATAAAAAACACAAAAGAAGGGAAACACAGACTGCTCTCACCACACAGCCTGGCCACTGATAAGGGTAAATTTTGAGAAACGTTAACAAACTGTGTTCTGCCATTATTTCTAGGACACTTCATCTTTTTCTTCTTAACATCTGCATGACTAACTTGAGTAGCACAGACAATAAAATATAAGGCCTAGAGGTTAGCCATACAGGAAGATGGGAACGGAAATGACACTGGTAGGTGGTGAAGTAATCAGAAAAAAAGGTGATGAATTTCAATAAGGGCAGTACAAAGCAATACATCCAGCCAAGAAAAATAACCTCCATAAATAAAAGATGATGAATGTCTAAGATATAAATAAACCTAAGAGGAAAAGATCAAGGTCACAGGAGATAAAAATCTGATAGCAAGTCAGCAATATATGACTATACTTTTAGAAAACACACATAATCTAAGGTTATTTGAAGTGGACTCTGGCTCTTGTTCAAATACGAACTCTTCTTCCCATAATACTCGAAAATGGTCAGTATTCTCAAAGCACTGTGTCAGTTCAGTTGAAAAGGATCATTAAGGAAAAATAAAACTTGGTTGAGATTCAGAAGAGACTCCAAGTTGATTAAGAGGGTGAAAAAATAAAACCTCTGAAGAAAGATGAAAGAAACTATTTACAGCCTCTAAAAGATGAGAAGTGACAATAAAATAGTCTTACAGGGAGGATGGCAGCCAGCTGTTCTCAATCTGAAGACAGAATATGCAGAAGCAGAAATGATGAGAAAAACAGTGATGATTTTCACAGGTCCCACAGTTGTTAGATAGGGAACTCAGAGATCCTCAACCCTGCCACAATTCTCAAGTTCTCTTATTTGTCCTTACGGTGTTTCCTTGCTATTTTTGTTCTGAGTGTTGCAGATGGTTAACATGGTGGGCCACAGAGCACACAATACAATTTGTATCGCAATGCATCTTATACAGGTAAGCAGATGCTAAGTATGTGCTTATCAATGGAAAAGAATTTAAACATTTGTTGCAGAAAGTGGATTCAAAGGATATAAGAATTACTTAAATGAGACATTTAAGATTCAATGGAAACTTGCCAGTAGAAGGCTTTCAAAACAGCTAACTTTCTTGCTCTGGCAGATTAAAGTATCATATTCCTAAAGGTAAAGAATCTTTTAAATATCCCTTCCAAAGTTATAAGATTCTATTTTTCAGTGCTGAAAAGAATCAAATCCTCTTCCAAAATTTGTACTATTCTTATTTATACAGAACCCAGAGACTAAAAATTAGAGAATATAAAGATACTAGAAAACAAAATTATAACAAAGGAAGGAAACCAGAAACTCAAGACCCAGCCACATACACCAACAACAACCAGGAAGCCCTACTCCACCAAAATAAAACAGATATAAGAATAAGGAAAAGTAAAGGATAAGATACAGTTCAGATTCTTGAAGATACAAAATAACAAAGACACTACTAAAAAAAAATCATAAATTATGCTTTAGATTACAGAATTGTAAAACTTGCTCCAATATCTCCTGTTAGAGAATGTAGAGAATGTTACGAAGTTATAAAGATGCAACAAGGGATATTTTCAGTTTCCCTATATTTTTATCTGCTAAAATAACTATTTCTCCCTTGACTTCCTCTATCTTTCCTCAATATCCCAAGAACTGGTCTTGACATCAAATGCTCCTCTTCCTTTTCCCTCTTTCACTTCTTACATCCTCTTTGACATCCCCCTTGCCTATACCTTAAGTCTCTGATGACAATCCTTACGTACTATAGAACTTATAAATGGGCAAAACTGTACCAATCATTATTTCAGCTCTTATCATTCAAGTCACATTATGCTCTCCAACTTTTTCCTTATTCTCAAATTACTACCCACTCATTGACTTTTCTTCTAGGCTTATTCTCTGTAAAACACAATCCCTCTTTACTCTCACTGAAACACACCGCTTCAACGTAAGATATGATTGTGTTTCTATTTCAAAGACTTTCTGAACTTCAAAAAGATGTAACTTTATTAAAGAGCAAACCACCTCTGTTGGGATTTTGCATAAACTAGGGACACAAAAGGATATTCTGGGCCACAGTGAATACTAAAATAAAATTACAACCACTCCACCTAGTGGACTCCCTATCTGCTGGGAAATATATGACACTGCTTCCAAAAAAGAAAGATTTTAGAAACAAACTTTAGAAATAAATCTCTACCACTCAGTATCACCTAATGCCAAATCATACATCTGTACTTCACAGATCAGGAATTAAGAAAGAATTATCTATTCCCCATAAGGCATATATTGTTTTGTAAGCTATTAGAGGGAAGATTTGTGGTTTTTAAATACAGTGGGCCACTGAGTTTGGCTAATATGAAAAAAATAATGATGGATAAAGACAAAGATGTGTGCTCTTTAAAGACAAAGGAGCAATAAACAAAGCAAATTATAGAGTTTCTTCCAACTTTAAAAGTTCTACTCTGGGAAATATTCTGCAAGTTTTTCTAATATAGCAACTACACGAAGACTTTATCTTTCCTGCATGTCAAAGAGTACAGTGTGTTCCTCAGAAAAAATGTAGCTTTCACAAGAAAGATAAAATTCTAAGAAACAGAATTATTCTGACATACCAATGTAGAATTCACTCTTTTTAGGAGTTCAAGTAACATTTTTTTTAGAAGTTGAAAATAACATAAACCTATAAAGTATGTTTTCATAATAGATTTTTTTTAATTAGGTGGGTGTGGTGGTGCATTCAGTCCAGTAATCCCAGCAACTGAGGAAGGCTGAGGCAGGAGGATCTCCAGTTTGAGGACAGCCTGAAACTTAGCAAGAAACTTAGTGAGATCTCGTCTCAAAATAAAAACTGAAAATTTTTATTGGGAATGTAGCTCAGTGGTAAGATACCCCAGGGTTGAATTCCTGGTACCAGAAACAAAAACCAAACATATAAAACTGTTGGTGGGGAGAGTATTAGTGTATTTTTGAGAAATCTATCAGGCATACCAAAAGAAAGAAATATTTTCCATATTTTCTATTAATGAGGCATAATGTGAATGTTTCAGAACATACTATGAGCAAGAATTTGGGAAATAAGATATGGAAGAACATTAGATGAATTTGCCAAGTGTAAAAAGATAATATCAGAGCAATTTTTTGTTGTTGTTTTGTTTTGGTACTGGGGATTGAACCCAAGGACATTAACCACTCAATCTTTTTTTTTTTTTTTGTATTTTATTTAGAGGCAGGGTTTCACTGAGTTGCTTAGGGCCTCACTAAGTTGCTGAGGCTGCCTTTGAATTCACAATCCTCCAGCTTCAGCCTCCTGAGCCTCTGGGATTACAGATGTTTGCTACCATACTGGGCCAGAGCACTTATGGACACAGCTACATCATAGGAACAAATACACCTCATCCAAAATTGTCACCCTCACCCAATTTCCTCATTCTGCTTAAACATCTCTAAAATCCACAAATCTATAACTCTACTTTTCACTCAATACACTGCCCATTCCTTTTACAAGGCACTTCTGATTTGGTCACAGTGTACCCTTAGCCCACATTCTAGAAACTAGAGCTAAATAACTCCTCAACCTCCACCTGTCCTTCATAAAAAGAATCACCAATAAGCATGGTAAACATCCCTTTATTCAGAATTTACTTCCAAATTTCACTAACAGTTTTGAAATTCAAAAAGCTTCAAACTGCGCCACCAATTCCAAAGCAAATATTACAAACTGTATGTTCTCCTCTCTTCCTTAACCATTTTGTTTGGGGACATTCCATCAACTCCACTGCCACTGAAGGTGGCAAAGCATCCTACTTCTAGCCAATGAAATCTATATGGATATCTCCTGGTTAGAGCTAAAAACACATCTACTGCTTTCCCAATGAAAAGGGGGAAACTAGGCTGTGTCTTTTTGCCTCTTTCTTCTTTATGCCTAGAATATGGGCTTA